TCACTGTGTCTGTCACTGTCAGTGTGTGACTGTCAGTGTGTCACTGTCAGTGTGACTGACCGATGGGTTTGGGTACAGGCAGAGCCTGGGTACAGTCGAAGGGCAGTGAGCTCAGTGACCAGATGACCGGGTGTACGCGCTGCAGGATGTTCAGCGAGATGGCCACGATGCTGCAGGTGTCCTGTCGCACCGCCACGCGCCTGTGGGGACACAAATGTCACCTGTGTGTCACCTGTGTGTCACCTGTGTGTCACCTGTGTGTCACCTGTGTGTCACCTGTGTGTCACCCCTGTGTCACCTGACCCCCCCCAGGTGTCCTGTCGCACCGCCACGCGCCTGTGGGGACACAAATGTCACCTGTGTGTCACCTGTGTGTCACCCCTGTGTCACCTGTGTGTCACCTGACACCCCCTGACCCCCTCACATGTCACCACCACGCACCTCTGGGGACACCTGTGTCACCTCTGTGTCACCTCTGTGTCACCTCTGTGTCACCCCTGTGTCACCTGTGTGTCACCTGACACCCCCTGACCCCCCCCAGGTGTCCTGTCACACAGCCACGTGCCTGTGGGGACAAAAGTGACACCTCTGTGTCACCTGGGGGGGTCACTGCCACACACCTGTGGGGACACCTCTGTGTCACCTGACACCCCCTGACCCCCCCAGGTGTCACTGCCACCCGGCTGTGGGGACACCCCAATGTCCCCAGGGGTGACCCCTGACCCCCCAGCCCTGTCACACTTTGTCCCCTGTGTCACCCGCTGGGGTCACTGTCACCCCAAACCGGCCTCTCACCCCTGGCTTGTCCCTGTGTCACCCGCTGGGGTCACTGTCACCCCAAACCGGCCTCTCACCCCTGGCTTGTCCCTGTGTCACCCGCTGGGGTCACTGTCACCCCAAACCGGCCTCTCACCCCTGGCTTGTCCCTGTGTCACCCGCTGGGGTCACTGTCACCCCAAACCGGCCTCTCACCCCTGGCTTGTCCCTGTGTCACCCGCTGGGGTCACTGTCACCCCAAACCGGGACCCTCCGGTCCCCCCAGACTGACCCAGGCCGGGTGTGGTTGGGGTCAGTCGGAACCAGCAGGGTGGGCTTGGGGTGTCCTTGGGGGAACTGCTGGGGTTGGGACCCCCAAAACCGCCGCAAATACCCCCAAAAACTCCTGAAATCCCCTCTAAACCACCCCAAATACCCCCAAAAACTCCTGAAATCCCCTCTAAACCACCCCAAATACCCCCAAAAACACCCCAAATACCCCCAAAAACTCCTGAAATCCCCTCTAAACCACCCCAAATACCCCCAAAAACACCCCAAATACCCCCAAAAACTCCTGAAATCCCCTCTAAACCACCCCAAATACCCCCAAAAACACCCCAAATACCCCCAAAAACTCCTGAAATCCCCTCTAAACCACCCCAAATACCCCCAAAAACACCCCAAATACCCCCAAAAACTCCTGAAATCCCCTCTAAACCACCCCAAATACCCCCAAAAACACCCCAAATACCCCCAAAAACTCCTGAAATCCCCTCTAAACCACCCCAAATACCCCCAAAAACACCCCAAATACCCCCAAAAACACCCCAAATACCCTCAAAACCCCCTTCAAACCTCCCCAAATACCCCAAAACCGCCGCAAATTCCCCCCAAACTGCCCCAAATACCCCCAAAAACTCAAAAAATCCCCTCTAAACACCCCAAATCCCCTCCAAACAACCCCAAATCCCTGCTAAACCTCCCCAAATAACCCCTAAACACCCCTAAACACCCC